TGTGTGTGTGTGTGTGTGTGTGGTAATTAGGCTGGAAGTAATATACTGATACACGCACTTCTTCATGCAACACAAATGCAGACGCCTCATGCTGACAGTTCTGCAGCCATAGTATGAGTATCAGAACACTCGCACACACATTCACACAAGCACGTATAGATACAACAAACAGTTGACTGATCTGCTACGTTTAACTTTACAGTGGCGACTTTAATGATGACTTAATATACGGACATCATTTGTGACTTAAACACTTACTAACAACATTGAAATTAATTGAAACGCTATTAAGATGTCTCATCCAACCCACTGTCCACGCCCCAAAAACAATACTATGAATTGTTTTTGATGTAGCTATTTAATAAAGGCAAATATAACTATTACATAAAAAACATAATGAATGTAAAAAACAAAAAAAGACTGTTTTACGAAGTTTAATTACTATACGTTGGACAAGCTGAAATTAACAACAACAACAGCTGTAGTCTTGTTTGCGTGCCATTAAGGGGCATGGTTTAGTGAGTGATGTCAGGAACTTGGCTGGTTAATCTGCATCAAGGTACTTCTGTGTTATGTATTTAAGTTGAGACTTCACAGACATCGAGACAGTATCAGTTTCCTTCCACTTGGATCCAAAAATGAGCCTTATTGTTCTTTTCTCCTCACCTCATGTCCTGGATCAGGGACACTTTAAGTGGGGGCATGGCAGATCCACCACCATCCGATTTCCGTCTTTCAGTGTCGTGAATGAAACCTGGGACATAAACGATCTCCAGGTTATGCTTTCAGTCTAATTACTTTTTATGCCAAGTCAATGTCTGAATTTGTTTTTCTACCTGGAGGTCCCAAACCAGCTGGGGTTGCACTTTTCTTTTCTTTGCTTTCCTGGTAATGTAGCAGGTGGGACCACAGTGCAGATTTACCCTGAAAATAGAAAACGCGGTTGGGAGGTGGGAGCATAATATTCAGGGTTAAACACCTGCAGGGGCTGAGTAGAGTGCTGAATAACCCAGTGAAAACTACTGTGTTGTTTTCCTTACCTGTTTAACTTGCAGCCCGTGGCTCCAGATCCTCTCCAACAAGTCACACAGACTGGCAATCAGAGTGTTCTCTTCCACACCAGTGATGCTGACTTCTACATGACCCAACTCCACTGCCTCTCGGCCCATCTTCTCAACAAGCATACGTTTGGTCTGCAGGGTGAAGGCAATGGTTAAGACCAATGGCAGTAGGTATTTATTTATTTAT